ACAAATCTATCTAACAACAGACTTCTCTGATGTCAGCAATTAATCAAGCTCCAGGCTTCTCAAATGCATTTTGCTATGTGATCATATATGTGCAGATGACAACATTGGTAACTACAATTTCATACTGAAGTCTGAATAATACAGCTTTTGTAGCACCTGTACATAAATCCATCAGAAGTTACTGTTAATTTATTTGATAACTTCTTATTGTAGAACAAAGTTGCAAAACATGAGGAGAAATTCCATCTACAAACCATAGGCAGAAAATCGCCCTTAGTGTTGACAAAATCAAAATAAGGTCTAATTTTCTTTAAAAAGTTTTACTTCAAGCTGGTGCATGTTGAAGCAAGAAAATCTATTCTGAAAAGCCAGATACTGGTTTGATGGCTTTGATATCTCCCTATCTTTTATACACATGCCAAGAGAAATTCTGAATATTCTCTTAGCATCAATGAATATGCTAAAGCTTTTTGTTAGATTACAACTAAATCCTGTTTCTTTGGAAATCTCAAGTTCAAATAAGTTAATTTGGATAACATTCATCAGCTAGTTGCAGGTACAAAAAAAGTTAGGAAGACCTTTTAGATGGCATTATGAAAAATAGATACCTCTTGCTTCAAAGTAGTTAAGCTTTTTGAACAAGTTAGCTTATTTTTTTATCCCCAAGAAGTAAAATCAACCAAAAGTCAAATCAACCAACAGTAAATGAAAATAATATTTTAAATAAATTTTATTTGATCAGAGATTGAGACAAACTATTTGATCTCAAAATTATTGATTTTTCTATTTTGATCCATTGTTGAAAACACTAATTTCAGATACATATACATGTGTTTTGTGCATCATCAATTTTTCCATTTATGTCTGTATGTATTGAGGAGTGGCTGTACTGTTGCCAAGACTATGTGCATAAGTGAACCTATATTTGTAGGGAACTGTAATAATCTTTATTTGACCAGCTGATACAGCAGGTAGAAACTGAATAAGCTTGCATGCTTACAAGCTTTGCTGCAAATCTGGAACAGAAGCAGTAACCTCAGGCTAAATACTCGCTGCAGACAATTGCTCTGAGTTTAGCTTGATTATGTTGAACAGTTAGACAATTTGAGAAATAATGTGATTGGCGTGAGAAGAACGGAAGGTCAGGTTAGCAAAAGGAGAGTAGACAGGGTTGCTTACCCCCATGCAACAAGCAGAAACTGGGAGAGGGGGGTAATGATCAACTTGAACTGAGAGGTACAAATACCACTTTTTACCTTGGTTAGATAATGATGGAATTAAATATCTTTTAGTTTTGTGATAGCTGAAAGAAGGGAAGACACTGCTAAAGGCATGAACCAGCACAGAAAAGCCTCACATGGAGCTGGGTAATATGTTGGTGCATAGTCTGAGGAACATGCTCCTTTGGGAAAAAAGTACCTGGTAATTTGTCTCATTTTCTTTCCTCATGAGACACAAAGCCCGGCTCCTAAATCGTGCCAAGCATTACCTGTGGGCGGCACACTGAACTAGGTGATACTTCATGCTATGAGTGGGAGAACTGAATTATATAGTCCTGTTCACAGAGTCACAGAATTACAGAATGGTTGAGGTTGGAAGGGACCTCCAGAGATCATCTAGTCCAAACCCCCTGCTCAAGCAGGGTCACTGGTTTGTTTTTGTGACGGACCAATTTATAGATACTATTCTCAGCATTTCCCACTCCTTCCTCATAGTTGTATCACACCATCATGGCTACAAAATACACGTCTGGGGAAGCACCACTAGCAGCAGGGAAGAGGCAGAGGCTGAGCTCTGCTGACCAGCGGGGCTACCAAGCCTTTGTAGTGTGATACCACCTGGACACCTGGCAGGAGCCAGAAGGCATTCAAGGAGAGACAGAAGGTCTGAGAGAATCTCCCATCATAAAACGGCTTTTCTTTGACTTGCCATGGTAGGCATGTCTGGAAACTGGCAATAAAGACAATCTGGTTCATGTACTTAGAAACAGGAATGAAGCCACCAGTATGACATGGAAGTTTAGCTACCAGAACTCACAGTAAATTGCATAGTCACCTGTTTCACTGACTTAATTTCTCTTCCCTAAAAACAACTACTCCATGAGACTGAGTACCAGATACCTTTTGGGGCCAAGAGACTCCAAGATATACGTATAGCAATGACAATTTTAATGAAGAAACATTTAATTTCAGATTTCTTAACACTGGTATAGATTGCACGTGTAAGAAGTATATATTAAATAAAAAGAATGGCCTTTGATTTCACTGGAAGTAATGCATGAGCACTCTGGGATGTTTCAGTGTTAAAATCCAGAGATGATTTTCATTCTCCTTTGAAGGGCAAGGTGTAAACATGTTCGATAGATTCATTATTTACAATGCTGCATCAAGCAGCAGATGTAGTTGCTCCAGAAAATATAGTTCCAAGTAATTCATTCACTCTTGGTTCTGTAAAAAACAGTAAGGAGAGAATGAAATGAGAATAATACTTCTCCACGTAGAACAGAGAGGAAGAACATTTTAGATGCCATTTCAAACCAGTACCCCGAGGACAATATTTCCTTCTTCCATGAGGCCTAAGTTTAAATTTTTCATATTAAACTACTATGAAGTTTAAAATCTGATAAGGGAGTGCTGTGCTACAGAAAAATAACCTTTTTTTTTTTTTTTAGATCTGGGCTGTTATAAACAGCGCTGGGTGTGGGGGGAGTCTACGCTCCACCAACACACACACAGGAACATCAAACATTCTAAATATATAGAACATTGCTTTTACATACTAAACCTGAGTATGCCTATACATACATACACAATCAGAAAAGGTAACAATCCTTTAAGTTCCATGCCTTAACAGTCTCCATTTTCCATTCCTTTTCTTGATTACTAACAAGTCTCCATTTTCCATTCCTTTTGAACAATATGTCTCGCTTTAAGTTGTCAAGCAACTTGGTCTTCAAGCCTTATGTATCCCGTTCTTCCCAGATGGAAGAAAAGCATATCCATCTCCTTTTCAAGGCAAATAGGCCTGGGTCAATAGGCACGTCCAGGTCAACAGGGGGCGTAACAGCAAAGGCCTGAGATGGCTGTAGCAGCAGAGTCTCCTGAATCACCCTTCTTTGTTCCCTCTAAACTCTTTTATATTTCTGATGGCCTCATCGTTAAGAGTCTAATGTTATCTCAACCACGGGGCTTTCCAACCCCCATGGCCACACTCTCAAATCTCCCCCTTCTTTATTAATATCAACCATTTTCTCGACACGAATTACCACTCCATATATGACACTATTGTTCCTCTTTGGCTGTGGCAGAAAAGACAATGTAGGAGTGTAAGAGCAGGAGGAGAAAATGTTATCAATCAGGTGACTGACAGTCATCTCCCTGCGAAGTAGACATAAGACAGATACATACAGGTGCACACACACACACATTCACTCATATATACATACATACATATATATGTGGGTGAATATATATATGTGTGCGTGTAGGGAAAAGTCTATGAAATGGCATTGTGGGGTGAATGTGACCTCCAAAACAACACATTTCACAGACAGTCCATCCACTCAGTCACCACGCTGATACAAATACAATGAGAATGACATGCTTGATTCAGAAAAAAATAGCTTTTAACCATAAGCTTAAGGCTTATGCCTGTTCTAGGCATATTCATTCTTATATTAAATCCTGGGGAAAGTGCTATTTTCAGCATGGATGTTTGAATCCTAAATCACAATTTAAAACAAAATAAAGCAAAACAACTTGCACGACCCTTAATTTTTCACAGCTTTCTTTAACATAACTGTTTCATATCTGTGGACTTTTTCTTTGAAAAGACAAGTAGTTACACATGCATTTTAAAACAGTAGCATAACAAAAGAGATTTTTTTTTTTCCCAAAGACTTCTGTTTATGCTATGTAGCATCGTTCATTTTCTTGAGGTTGTTTTTGTTATTCATCCCTGTGCTCAACCTGCTCATCTGTAAAGTTCTGTCTCTTTTGTTTTTCTTTTCTGTCTCAGATTTTCATCATTGAAACAGAGAAGATTTGTTTTATGCCTCGATTTAATTTACCATTTCAGTAAATTTCTTCTGACAGTGTTCATACTGTAGTTAGTGTGTGTACCAATGATAACAGTTGCATCGATTACTTTACTGACAAGTAATATAAAAAGGAAGGAAACTAACTGCAATGCTTTCTCAAGGAATGAGAAATTTTTCTGTATTATAAATATAAAGGGAAAGGTGGAATGAAATAAGCTGCAGCAATAAAGAGGAAAATTAATTCCAAGCTTTTACAGATGGCTGCAGTTGTATTACTTAACATGCATGTCAGCTGTAGGAAAATGTTTGAAAAATGAGGTTCAGCTCGACAGTAAGAAATCACAAAGCTTCCCAAATGGACCAAATTCAACATTGGAGTGAAACGCTGAAGTCAGTGGGGTTACAAAAACAGTAAATTTAGCACTTTATGCTTTGAATCTTTTAATATTTGTGCTAAAACAAAATGGAAGAGGGATACTTGCTCTCTACCATGCTGCTATTACAGAGAGGTTAAAAATAATGTACTAACATGAATGCTGAAGTGCTTCCCTTTCATTTTTGTTTATTGCTGTAGATATAAAAGTATCACATGACCTTCCAGAAAGAAGCTCTCATACCAGAATTATTAGGCAAAATTTACTGCAATCCATCAATGCAGGAATGCAGTGATTATTGGTATAAGACCATGTAAAAAATAAATAAATAAATAAATAAAAATACTTAAAACTAAAAGCACAGTCTTTATTAAAACAGACATCAGAGTTATAGAGCTGACCTCACGAAAAAGCCCGTTGCTGTGTTCTAGGGTTAAAAACAGAAATAAATGAGACCTCAGTTCATTACCATTCTTTAAGGAGAGTAGAGGTAGTGTAAAAGGACATCTGTGAGTAGTAGTGACAATTTATCTCCAGTTTTGTAACAGTCACAACATTTCTTACAATAAATTCTTTGATACTTGATATGGCATGAAATATTTCTGATGATCTTTAATGACAAAGAAATATACACATGTTCTAATGGGATAACAAGTGAATATGTTTCTTTACATTAGAAAACACATTGTTATTATGCTTCACAATGATCTTTTACTTATTCATGCAACAATCTAAAAAGGAGAGGACTATTCAAAAATTGACAAAATTACAAGTGATTTTTGAATGTTTGACCTTATAAAAGAAATAAGATACAGAAAAAGGCTACTAGTACTTTCCTAAAATTATGGTAACATTTTGAGAAGCTTTTAGATTTAGACTTTGAAATACAGTTTTCTGAGAAGGCTTTCATTAAATCCACTTTATTTTTTTATTTTTATTTTTTTATTTAGAAGACACTTTATTGAGCCTACATTTCAAGAGTTAAAATCTATGGCAAGATGACTCTTCTCTGTAGAACTGAGAATCTCTGCAAAGAGATTCTCCAAGCCCAGGGCACTACTGAATGATCTGGACTAACTTCTGACAGCTTTCTGTTAAAGCAAAAGAGACTGCAGGATGCTTAGTAACCAAACAGGTGTCATCTTAAAATTGCTGTCATGAGAAAGTTACGATGGAGTAAGGAATGAACAGAGCTGGCATTTCATGTGGTACATACGTACACCTCAAGCCTGCCAGAATTTTACTTACTTATTTATTTATTTATTTTGTTTTTATTTTTATCAGCCTTGGTGGGATAATTAATATATTTAAGTTAAATATGTGGCAAAACATGCTTTTGGAGGACTGGAACCTATAGCAGAAGGGATTAGAAGGGATTAGAAGTACTACCTGAAGTGCAGAATTTCAGAGTGGTCTCCTCCCAAACACAGTTGATCCTGAGTGTGCCTCCTCCTGCCTTAGGGCATACCAATCCATCTGACCTTTTCTCTTATTCAGAACAGAATGCTGTCCCCAGAAGGTTTCTGGTAAAGTGCAAATTTTTTTGTGCTTCTTGGATAGACACTGGTCTTAACACACTTGCACAGCTCTGTTAGTCCTACACCAGATTCAGCACTTCCACATTTGTCCCAGTAAATGCTTAAAGGTCCCATGGCAAGGAGAAGGCTAACCAAGCTGAACACAGCTTCATAATGATTGGGACATTCAGTATTTTACTGTTTTGCTGTGTATTTTACTTTTATGAGAACAGTGCTATTAGATGAAACATTCTGTTCACTTTCAGAGCATTTCTAACATTTATTTTAACATTTTTCAACACTCTTGGAGTACTGGCATCATACACATACAGGTGCACACACCTATACAAACATATGAATAAGTATTTATATATAAACACATATGCATACATTACCAGGGGCAGAAAGGCCATATCAGTAAAATATGAAGACTTTTATGAGCACGTTATTTTTCTCAACAAATACTGTAATTTTAAAAAATATGTTTGTTTTTAAAATATGCTTTCCCATATTGAAAATATAATGGAAGTTTCTCTTTTAACTATTCCATTTTAAGCATATAAAGAAGTCTGAAATGTCAGCTAAATATCTTGATAACACAATTTAACACTTAGAAGAGAAAACTGAGCATTTTCAGATTATTTTGTAAGCATTTTAATTAGCTTCTCAGGAATAACCACATCAATTTCTCAGGCCTGCCAGTGTTCCCATCATAACAGTATTTCAGCAAGAATTTCACACCATTACTACTTAAACAAAGTGGAGAAAGCATTCTTAAAAAGTGAGAAAGGAAAAAAGGGGAATATGCTGACAGAACAATGGACCTGAAGTCTGCAGTACCACATACAGCAGTCTCTGAAGTAAATTGATAACCACCTGTTTTTTCAAAGGACATAAATTTTTCCCACCTGATCACATTCCTAGCAGTACTGGAAACAAAGACAACTTCTGAAGGACTTCAACACTGGACTAAAAAGGTGTAACTTATTTTCTTGAGGGCTGGAATAGTGACCTTCTGCTCTCCCTACCAACCTGAATTTTGCTGTGATCCTATGACCCTATTGTTATTATGGAATTCAATATGTTGCACCACAGCATGCCCTCCCTTTTTAAGGTAGAGGTTACACAAATACATCTTCATTGTCTTTAGTTGCTGAAATTTATGTTTGGTTTATTAAGGGAAACACTGATTCTTAGCAAACCCATGGAAAAGGTAATCACACTGACCTTTCTAACTGCTGTGCAATGGAATCAGCAAAAAGAGAGAGCAGATAAGAATAAATAAAGAAGGGATATTTGCTACTGCTATTTGTTGTTTCTTCTTCTTCATGAGAATAATGCAGTTCAAAACACTGGGCTGTCAGCGCAGGACATGTGTTGATTTTAATAATTAAGCACTGTTGGGTTGCTGACACTATTAGTCAAGGGTCAGTAGACATTTTCATTACAATTGCCATTTTCCAAGACTTCCTAACTGTCTCTTTGATTCACGCTGGGCTGAGCCTTAGTGTGTAGGTTATCAACTTCCTCGCATTTTTTGCCTCACCATAATAATCTATTTTTCAAGTTTTCAAACTATAGCAATTTAGGATTGTTTCAGTCTGTTTCCATTAGGAGCCTGTAAGCTGGGAGGACAGAAGAGAGCAGGGATTTTGAAGCCTCATTTCTTCTCAGTCTCTAACAAACAACACTGAAGCCTCGGGTCCAGAGACTGGGTAGAAGAGAATTGCATGTATCAGTGGAGAACTATGGGAGCTGTGGAGGCAGTGTTTTTCCCGTCTTGTAAGAAGTTTCTGGGAAGCGGGTTACTTTTCTTTGAATGTAGCAGAAATCTCTAAGAGACACAAGTGTGAGAAAGAAAATAGCCTCCACAATCTACACAGTAGATGGACTTCAACTACTTGTTTTGTTATGAGTTATTTGGGAAACATGCAGCAGCTTTTTTTTTTTTTTTTTTTTTTTTTTTTTTTTTGTCCTTTTTTCACCTTTTTCTCCACAACTTTTTATTGTGTGGATGTAACGTTTCTGGAACACTTCCTTCCAGGCACAAGTCCTGAAGCTACCACAAAAGCTTACCTCTTTGGATGAGGACATCTGCTGCAACGTGGTGCTCAGAGCATGAGTGGACCTGCTCTGCTCTACCCTCCCCCCCCTTTCCAATATGCCATTGAAAGTGCCATTGAAAAACAGATTTATAAAACATGCTTCTGCAACCAAAATCCCTCAAACATTTAGATCAGTGTTCAACTCCAGATAGGAATAATAACTTACTCTTTTTCCATTGTTCATGTACATTTAGTTACTAAAGGAAGCAGAATGAAAACTTTATACTACCTATGTTTTCTATATGCTTAAAAAAAAACAAACAAACAAACAAACAAAAAAAACCACTCCATCATCTGCATTTGAACAGGAATATTTCCTATTTATTGTCAATGGTGATAAAACCCTCAGAGCAACCTTTATTCAAACTTAGGGTGCATCTGTGAACGTTACCTGATTTTTGTTCATGAAGTATGGACAGACATCCAGTAGACGCTTTCTACAAACATCTGCTCCCTTCTGTCTCCATTACATTTGTATAGTTGTTTTATGGTTTGTATTTCAAGCTAAGCTCGTTTTGGTCAAAGATTTCATTAGAAGCAAATAATTCAGGCTCAAGTTAGGGAGATTTGGGAACCTAAACAACTAATAGACATACACTAGGAAGATTTGTCTGTATTCTGGCTTATCCAGTTCTTGTCAATCATAAGAACCAATCATTTCAGAAAAAGCCGTTTACCTATTGATTCAAAGAAACTTGCTGATCTGTGTTACATGAATTATATGACACATTGGGAAAAATACAGAATAAACATCCATTTTGTCACTGTCAGAATCCAATAAACATTGTGAAATAGATACTGCTATTCCATAATTTTTCTATTTACTAATAATATCATATAATATGTTTAAAATGGTAGTATACTACAGGCTAATCTGTTTCAATGGCATGGCAATTGGGTCTCTCTGTTCTTGAATTGTATGATGAACAGTAACCCATCCATTCCTATCCAATTCAAAAGAGGTGCAAGCTTGACTCTAGCCTAAATTCTGAGACAAATTGAAAAATATTTTTGCATGCCTGTTAATTCCTTAAAAAAACAAAAACAAAACAACACCAACAAACAAATTACCTTGAGCAAAGGAGTTGATAGCAAAAGAAACAAGCAAACAAACAAACAGATCTGCTTCAAATGCAATGCTTGAAAACATAAATAGTGGAACAATTATATTGTTTCTTGAATTTTGACTACTTCACAAATGTAATCATGAAGCATGAACCTGCATAGCTCCCTTGGTTTGTTCAGCCCACAGCAGAGCAGGCCAAGGGGAGGCCTTGTGGTGGCCTGCAGCTTCCTCATGAGGGGGGCAGAGGGGGCAGGCGCTGAGCTCTGCTCTCTGGGGACAGCGACAGGACCCAAGGGAATGGCATGGAGCTGGGACAGGGAAGGGTCAGGCTGGGTGATAGGGAAAGGTTCTGCACCCAGAGGGTGGTCGAGCACTGGGACGGGCTCCCCAGGGCAGTGGTCAAGCCACCAAGCCTGTGGCAGTTCAAGAAGCGCTTGGACAGTGCTGTCAGACACATGGTCTAATTTGGGGGTAATCTTGCGTGGAGCCAGGAGTTGATCCTTGTGGGTCCCTTCTAACTCAGGATATTCTAGGATTCTATTGTTTTTTATGTATTGGTTTACTGTACCTCATTTATCTTCAAGTTCAATCCTATTCAGATAAAATCAAGAATGAGAGCTGCAAAATCAAGTTAATTCAAATTTTAAAAGAAATATTTCTTTACTGTACATGAACTGGTAAATACACTACCTTTTTTTCTTACTCTCTATTACGTTTTGTATTTAACCAAAATGTCATCAAATCTGTAAATATCTATGTATTTATGTATACATTAAAAGAAATATGACCAAAAGAGTCAAAACCACAAAAGTAAACCTTGTTTTTGTAAATACCAAGTGAATCAATTATTAGAACTCAACTGCGCTCATGTCTTACTTTTTTTTTGTGTGTGTGTGTGATATTAAAAGCAAAATACTGAAAAGTTTCTATATTTTTCATGTGATGAAAATTGTTTTGGTTTACTTTGAAAAGGTCAGAAATAAGTGTATACACAAACACTACAGCTTCAAAATAACTATTCAACTTGTGGTTGTAAGTTTTACTGTTTCGCAGTTTCAGCTATAAAGGCTCTGAAACTGCTCTGAAATATTTTTTCTGAAGGGAGAGAACATCTCTTCATGCAGTTATTACAACTACAAAGGAGTCGTGAATGAAAATGAAGTCTGTAACTATATTACCTGCTCTACAATTATAAGTGTGGCAATTAATTTTCTCAAAGCTTGAACCAGCACTCCAGTTTGTGAGTCACAACAAAGTAAGCTTTGGAAAGTTTTATAGATAACCGCTCATTGAATAAGTTCACACTGACTGTTAGAAAAAAAAAATAAAATCTATTAATACACTCCTCCAGAATTTTCTGTGTAATTACCCTGACAAGATAAAAATGCATATAGGTTGATCAAGAGATTGTTAAATAGACAGGTAAATGATAGATATCAGTTACATGTGGATGACAGTTTTTGAAATGTATTTTAGCATTAGCAAATTCTCGAGTCACAGATTTCCTGAGAAGAAGGTGTGTCTAAAACGTATTCTGAATTCATTGAAACCTGAGGCAGACAGAAAAAGTCAGGCAGGATAAGCCAGGATACCAGCATAACACACTGCTCTGCCTGGAATTTTTAATGTCCCCTTAGCTGTACAGCTTCACAGATAATAGTTTTCTTCGCCCAAGACAGTTTTTGATATTTGGGAAAAAAAAAAAAAAAAAAAAAAAAAAAAAAAGACCTTGAAAATGTTATTAATTAAAAATTTAAAACATAGAATTCAGCAAGTGAATCCAACAAATTTTTGTCTTTAATTTTTCATCTCTAAACATGATTTTACATTTTTCAACTAGTTGTTCAATTATGTTTCAAAAAGAAAATTTTTTTTTCAGACAAAGATTGAAGACTTTTCTTTCATTGCTCTGGGGCCTTGAGCACACCGACAGTCTCTAATTGCCCTGATCAGCCTGAAACCATCATTATCTGCAATCCTCCTCTGCAACTGCATCCCACTGCCAAGGGCTTTAGCTGCCTGTGCTGGAGGTCAGCGCTGAGTGTCACAACTCTTGACCTTGGATCAGGCTGCTGGGAGAGGTTTCTGTGTGCACCCTGCAGCTTGGGGGCCTTGTGCACACTTGGTGTAGGCAGGTATGCAGTGCCTGGTCTTGCACTGACCTTGACCCTGACCTCAACACTGCTTTTGACTCACAGCTGTCAACATTCGCTAATTGAAAAAAGATACAAACAAAAAATCCTAAATCCAAACTTATTCTTCTTGTTTTATTTAGTATTTACCATATGTGACTGTTTACTTCTGCTGCCTTGGAGGAACTGTGAGACTAACTTGATTGATGTTTCTAAATATCAGTCCTGTGAAACCTGTGATGGAGACCTTCCCATAGAGAAGTGCAAGTAGTTTAGTCATCACGCATGTTAGACACACTCTCTAAAGACCACGCATTTAGAGAGTAGCTATTCCTCTCCCACTGTTTTTCTATCTCATGTCTTAATTATTCTAAATCAAGAAAGAATATCTGGGCAAATGATTAATTACACTCATTAAAAATTATTTTGATGGGCTGCACATTCTAAAGTGTGGCATTCGTTTGAATTAAAAGTACACATTATACCATAACTTTTAATGAGGAGTCATATCAATATGGTTTGACCATGGATGTATCATCTACTTGTTTCACTCAATAAGCTCTTTTTCAGGATCTGGCAATGATTAATTATATATAATTACAAATGATAATGGGACTACAGAGCTGGGAAAAACAGTAGTATGAGATTTGTTTGGTGATCCTTTTTTTTTTTTTTGTCTTAAATTTGAGGTAGTAAACAATGGTAGCAGCAGGTTCATTAAGGGAATAAGTACTTTTTATGAGCAGTTAAATACTAATTGTAAAGATTGTTGGATTCAAGCTGAACTGTATCTCTCTCTTTTTTTTTTTTTTTTTTTTTTTTTATTAGAAGAACAGCTAAGGACATCAATTTTAGAGGAACCACATTGTTTTATCTGTAGTCTAATCAGACATTTGAGACTCAGGATGCTTGCAATCAACTTCAGCATACTGGCATTACTTACATGTGACAAACCGTAAGAAAAACTCCATTTTCTTTGTTTCTCTTTGCTTGTCTCTTGCAGTTTCAGGCTGTCTTTCTCTTTTCATATTATCTGAATTTAAATCTTCATTTCAACTGTGTATCTGCAGGACAAAGAGAGAAGTGGGGTTCGCTATTTTTGATGGGGAAATTATATATTCATAAAATAAAAAGAAAAGTTTCTGTTGTGGGTGGACTTCTACTCACTAATGATCTGACTCTCAACATTAAGAAAATGACCCATTTTTCACTTTTTTTTTTTCTAAATTTACTCATCATCTCTAACTTACCATCTGTACAAATAAGTTTAAGGAAAAGGACTTGAGGAATATTAAGCAGGAAAGGAAAATTGCATTAACAGTATCTCCTGGCTACTAAAGATGGATGAAAATTGAAATTTCAGCCCTATCACACATTCCAATATTTCTACCTTTGTTTTGTATCAGATAAAAGTTAAAATGCATTCAGATTTTCACAGAAGTGAAAATTTTTAAATTTCCTACTTTTAATTGTTAAAACCTTATCTTCAGATTAGGAAAAAAATAATTTTTTTTTTTTTTAAAGCCAAAATTCTCAGAGCAGTTGAAGTCCACCAAACGTTTGATCTTTTCTTTTCCAAAAACCAAAATGTACTTTCTTTCACCTGTTCACTCTAATACATACACAGTGTGAAATAAGCAATTAAATAAAATAAATGAACTAGCTTAGAAAGAAGTCAAAGCAAATCTCCGCCTATACAATTCTTTGCCTAAGGAGAAAATGACAAAGCGAATGGAAAATGCATGACTAAAATTCATCAGAGTGCTTAATGCACTACTGGAATCTGCTCTTACATGATAACAACGGGGGCACTGTAAGAACTTCTAAAGCAAAGGAGTCTTTCCTTTGTATTGTTGTACCAAACTGAATCATCATTTTCGGTGTTCATTTGTTATTGAGATGTGGCTATATATGCAGAAACAAGCTACTTGGTGCAGAAAAAAGAGATCAATATATCAAAGCATTTGCCAGTCCGGACTCATATCCATATCATAAATGTCTTGATAATTTTACTACAGATTGAATTTTATCAGGTTCCCCCCACAATAAATGTTCCCACCTTATATTTGTTTTGAAGCTGTCTGAAGAACAAAATATTGCTACAGATCCCCCAAACGTTGCTGGATCATGTCTGTGCACACTTGGAACAGAGCTACATCCTCTGGAAGGAATCTGTCTTCTGTAAACTGAAAACTTTCTCTGAACTGAGCCAATGTGTGGTAAGTAGGGACTACTGGGAGATGAACTTCAAAATTTCAGTATTTTTTTCAACCAAAAATTCTAGTTTAAATGCAGCCTGTGTCAGACGTAATTGTCTACAAGCTGGTAGCTACAGTTCATGTGTTCATGGTCTAATTTCTAACAACGCACCACAAGCATAAAATTAATGTATTACAGTAATTTTGAGTAGGGGAGGTCCATAGTGGAGTGTGGGAGACACATCTGATTTTAGAGATACAGATGATTTACAATATAGAAAAGACTACCCCACGTATGGTTATCTACACTCTTCATTATCTTCCAACACTATCCCATAATGGTTTGACAACCTCAAACTCCCACATCTTACTATGTATAGAAAAGGAGCAGTGGGGGGATCTTCATATGGCACAGCAAGGCATCCAATAAGTATAGTTTAAAATAACACATAAATGGGCTTTGATACAGCCTTCAAATTTATTTATTTATTTATTTATTTATTTATTTTATTTATTTATTAGCTCAAAGCATCCAAAATATTAGCTACATTAAATAGCAATTATATCAAAGCAGCATTGCTTGAAGACCAGACCTAATTCTTATGTAGGCTGGATGTAAGAAGTCTACTTGGTATGAAGTGTCTTTACCCCTGTGCTGTTTGAGAAGACAGACATATCTTTCATGTTTGTTCACACCCAGCTTCTGTATATTATCAAAATTGCCGAAATCAGAGAAGCGGGAGTTGATGCTCCTATCTATGCCCATCTGAGAGCTGAAACCTAGAGGAAGTGCTTGAACATCTTGGATCTAAAAAATCATTTGGTACAGGTGCTCACACTTAGTCTCACTGAAATCAACAACATCAGGCCGCTAACACAATGCTTTCATTTCAAAATTTAAAGAAAGGAGAATGGTATCAGTACCTAGTATATAGCTGTCTGATAATTAGGACAGTCACCTAAATAAGGCACTACAATATATGCCCTCCTAAACCAGAAGGATTTCCAATCCTGAGGTCTCTCCAGCAGGATAGCTTGGCCTGGAAAAGAAGCATCCTCCACCTTTCCTATGAAAGTCAAAGTAAAGAGTGCATGGGACAGAGGGAACCACATATGAAAGATAATAATATAATATATATATATAATATGAAAGATAATACTATAATAAGATAATAAAAATAATAATTAAAAAATAATTTAAAAATATATATGATTTTGCAGCCAAGTATTAGGAAGGACATCAAGCTGAAAAAGCAGGAATTCTTTGTATTATAAGAAACATGTACTGGATAAACTTGAAAAGAAATGAGGCAGAACAGCAAGAGTCTAATTCTTTGAAAAAATTGATGGGAAAGGAAAGTACAAACCCTGATTTAGAGTGGACAGAGTTGCTGTTGCCATGACCAATATAGCTTGCCTTAGGGGGAGAGATTGGATTCCATTCATAGCCTTATGGGTCCTACTAACTAAGCAGGTCTCCCAGTGGAAAGAATAAGATTTCTGGTCAGAGATTTACTTGGTCAAATCAAGACACCCATAACCATCCTAAAATAGATTAAATGAGTTGCATGTCACAACTTTCTTCATTATAAATGGAGATGAAACCAGATTAGAACATCTCAAGTAAGATAAGGCAAGGCTTACTTTTATGACTTCCTCTCCTGAAGAAGTTGTGGTGACTTTATATGCCAAAATCTGGTGTTTATAATTAACATTTGAGTACTCCAGTGAGTCACTCTACTACGTTAGACATCTCAGCCTTTGGTTATATCCAGGCTTTACTGATACAGGTAAATCCAGTTTCTCATTATTTGCTTCCTTGGTTAGCAATAGTCCAGCAAGAAGCAAATCCACAAAGAAAAAGAACAAAGAAAATGAAGCACAGTATAGGTGCAAAAATATTTTAAATGTTAAGTGGTACGGTACTGTGAACCACAGTGTAATTAGAACATAGCCACTTAATGCTGCAGCAGTTCTGATTACGTACATCAACTGCCTCTGTGCATTGCAAATCTGGAAATATGTTAGAAATGCCAATTTAAAGGTGTTTCTATTTAAGTTAATGGCATGGAAAAATCTAAAAGGTTTGTTCCATGGAAATAATCATCTTGGTTTACTAGCCATGGGGAACTTTTTGCAAAAGGTTTTGAGAATGTCTTTTATAGTTTTACATATATCTATGCTTATAGTAGCCTGATTCATAAGTAGAAAACAGATTATTATAAAGTTTTACTTATCTTACACTTTCAAAATTGCTAAGTAGAGATAAACAGAATGGGCATGTTAAGATTTCTTTTTTTTTTCTGATTAATTTTACGGTAATTCAAAGTGTTTCAGTTTTAAATGAATTGTTTGAATACTAAATTATGCAGCTTTATGATCCAAGAGATAAGCAGAGCTCTAAAGATGCCTCTGAGACTTGAAAGACAGCATTAGAAGCTCATTATTGCCGGCACATTTAACATGGTTAAAGTAGGGGAAAATAGCCATTAAGTTAATGTAATAGTTAAACTGCATTAATTTGAAAAACTGCCCAGTGAAATGCTTACAGTGAGGATGTATCTTTTTCTTTCTTTCTTTTTTTTTTTTTTTTTTTAATTCTCTAGTATTTTCAAATATTAATGAGTCAAAACATTTGAAGAGTAGTCCCTTTCAAGCATTTTAACATAACTTTTACACTTGAAGATATGTTCTGTTTATTACTCAAATGCATTTCAGAGCATCAATATTTTCTAAAGAGAGAAAAGCAAATGTTAATATGCATAAAAAATGAGTTCAGTGCTTCTGGGTGGTACAAACAAACAAAATAAGCTTCATCCCTCCTTCCCATTAGTCCCTTCATCCACTGAGTCCTTTCTTCTAAACATTGTTCTCTACATTTCACGGGAGTCTGGATAGTTTTTAATGCTTCCTTTTGTCTTTTGGAGCAATTAGGAGAGAGTTACAGTTGCTTTCAATCTCATAGAGGAAAGAGAACCACAAAGTGCTAGTAAAGTCCACATCAAAGAAACATAACGACTGCCACCAGGGGGTTAGATTTAATATATATCATGTTTCCAAAAATGATGTGATCAACCCCACAAAAGTAAAGTTCAGGGTAATCTCCAATATGTCTCTATGTACATACGAGTCTATACTTATTCCACAGTGGGTGAAGGTTTAATGTCCCTTTCAGAATTTGTTGGGGTAAGTTTGGCACCTGCTCTGCACCCCATCATACAGGGATCTCTCATACTCTGTGCTGCTTCTGTCCAACTGATTCTTAAGTTGTCTTTGATGGCAGAGGAAGACAAAGAAAGGAAACGGACTGGCCTCTGCTCTTAATCTCAGACATGGAATGAGCACAAGTGAACTCTTAAACCATGAACTAGACCAACCAGTGCTTGTGAGAGCTAAAAGCTGATGAAGATTTAGAAAAAGACAGCAGACCCAGAATCACTCACCGCTTCACTGCTGAGAAGTTTTCAAGCAGCCTAATATCCTCCTTTCTACCATTAGGAAAACATGTGCCTGCTTTGAAGATCTCTCTTTTTTTTTTTTTTTTTTTTTTTGGGGGGGGGGGCTGGGGGAGAGGAGTCTGCACCACCATATTACAGAAAGAAATAATTCAGGGGAACCACTCAATGTGCTTTGTTCCTATTTCCTTCCCATTAGCTATGACTCCAAGATTACAATGCTCATTCTTCCTCAGCAGCAGTGGATGACTCAAGCGCTTGAGAACTGAAAAATCTTCCTTCTTCTGTGGAAGAGGGGTGGAGCTCTCCACTGTCAATGTTACTTTGCACTAGAAATCAAAGACCAGGGTGCCAAAAGCAAGCACTACAATTTTAACATGGAGAGAGAAAAGCACAAGATGGAGAAAAACAGCAGGAATATTTTCCACCTTTACTTTTTAAAGTAAACTGAGCCCTATACTTCCTGAATCTCCAGCCAATATTATAAGTTTCACAGTGAAACTACATGTATTTTATGATTTAGCACCAAAAAATAAAAAAATAAAAAATGGTGCAGTTAGCCCAACTGGTGTTCCACTATTACATGCCAGAGACATTCAGTAAGTACACAGTAAAGTTAAGGTAAGGACTCTATAGCTTCTGATTCCATTGAAAGGATAACATTTCTGGACATCAACTCAAAACTGATTGAGAGAAGCATTCTATAACTTACTGTTCCCAATATCTACACCGTGCATTGCCTTTCCTGTTCTCTTAGTTGCCTTGAGCACTACTGAAATTTAGTGCTTTTAAGTCAAGCTGTCTTAAAAAAAAAAAAGGCAAGAAACAAAAAGAAAAAATACATACATGTATTTTTAAATTATTTTCCTCTTATACTTCAATATTCTAAAATATTTACTTAAACTTTTTTGCCAACAGATCTCATAATAATTTCATTTTGAGAAATTTCCAAAGAACTATTTTTTTCCTACAAAGAGTTTTTGAGATCAGCTTAACAATTTTTCAAATCTGAAAAACGGTTGCCCAATATTCGGTGTCAGTAGGGTGACTATATGGGCAAATAGAAGATATTTTTCCCTTCCCACTGTAATTCCTCCTTCCTGAATTTGCTACATTGATTATATAATTATACATGTATAACTTCTGCTGCCATGAAATCTGACCAAAGTTAAAAAGAAAGAGGTACTACACTAGAAAAAGTAGCAAATAGCTTTTCACTTGTCCACAGCATCACTCTGTCTCCAAAATCAAATTTAAATAGATGACTTTCTGATATTCATTACAGTGAAACCTGATCAAAATTTATGCCCCTCCAAACAGCAACATAACATTAATTCTATGTAAAATATGTGCTCCCAAATAATTATACTTACACAAAACACAAAAGCTTTCTGTTTGTATATAAGTAACTAATATGTCCTGAAGGTCTGTCTAGCTTAAATCTGTGGATTTAAGTAATGTCCAAACAAATATCTTCTTTTAAAATTTCCTTTTCTTTTGGATATTAAAGTATAAAGAATGTCTATCAGGATTTTGTACCATTATAACAATATATTGTGTATCTACGGCAATGCAGATGCTTATAATTTGCTCCAATGGTAAAAATTTTAATTCCATTAATTAAACAGGTTGTTTCCCCTCTGATATTTTTATGTTCATTTTGTATTTTCTTTTCTGTTCATGGTCTTGATTATTATTTGAAAAAATAAAATAAAGCCATGCAATTTATTATAAAGCAATATATGATCAAGCTTTGTAAGTTAATTCCAGAAAATCTAAGCAACTTTCCATTTAATACGGAAGTAGAACGTTAATGTTGGTTATGATCTCAAGGAAGCTTAGACAAATTTGCTTATGAAGTTCAGACCTTGGAATTCCATGCTTATTTGTTCCATACTTCCATACTTTTCTCATACTAATTAACTCTCCACAAACTATGAAGTAGCTATGTAAACTGAAGGAAAAGCTTGTGTGTTCATTTTTACAAGATTTCATTTTTTTAACTCCATCTTTCCCCAAAATGATGTTCTATCAGTATCCATTCTATTTTAGCAATGGCTAGCAAAGCTGAAATGGCAGCCTTATATGAAAATATATCCCATATTTTTAAATGTTACAGAATGCATAATGATTTCTCCTAATTGTTCTACTTAGCTTGCAAGGTGATGTTACACAGATCAGATGACATATCATCAAAGAAGATAGTCAATCTTTTTGAAGGAGACTCAAAAGTATAAATTGCAATTAAACTTGAAATAAAAATTCAGTTCCGTAATTTAAACATACTGCTAATTGCTTCTTACCTTACAAAGGGTTATATTCTTCTCTCTCCAGTTAATGCAAATTTCCATTAACAGAGAATATTAGGATTCCAAAGTGTTGGACAGAGGAAAAAGAATATAGACCTCTTTAAACTTAAGTACCTGCAAAATACCATTAACTGATGTAAAGTTGACAGTCAATTAGCTACTCATGTTTTAAGTGCTTTTAGTATTTGGAAGAAAAACATCTCAGCCATTAATTTTGAATTGAAAATAAGCTTCTGTTAGTTGATGCTAAACTTTTCCTGCCACAGTAGAAAGGTTTTTCTAGTGAACAATAGGGATTCTGAAAAAAGCTATCATAAATCAGACTGGGACTATGTCACCTTTTCTTAAGAGTGCTTAACACATTGCATTCATATAAAGACTGGGTTTTCACTTTAATATAATATTGCCAAATTTCAACAACTTGTCATTTAAGATTTTATTCCAAGTACCCGAGTGTGGCTCATCATTTTCTTGCCCCTGAAAAATTCAGTAAAGTAGTTCAGTATATGGCTTTACAATGTTAAAGATGCATTTCAGCTTAGAATTATAGAGCATTTCATATGTTCACACCACAGCTTTCATTGACTTCACTTGCAGCTGTGTGTACTCTGCACCTGTGCAAATCAGACTCCAGAATTTCACACTGTGTGCCCAGAAAATGAGGAAAATATGCAATCCAACCACCTGTGAAAAGTTTAACAGTTTGATCCCCAAAAAGTTTTAATAAATAAATAAATATGTAGAGCTTTCCATGCTTTTCTAGCAATGAGAAGCTCCTAAACTCAAGTTATTTGAGTATTATTCTGGGAGGACATGCGGGGTCTGTGCTTTAAGAAATGTATTAAAGCTTCTACATGTACACTGGCTCCCAAAATGACCTCTGAATTATGTGACAAATCTCTATTTCCATCATAGCAATATTCGAAGAACGTCACAGCAGGATACAACAGGCATGTTTACACCATGCTACAAAAGCCAAGTCATGTGAATTTATCAATATTTTCAGCTGAAGGTTTAAAGCACATGAACCAGATCAGCCTACCCCCACTAGACCATCCTGCCAAAGGATTTATCCTACTTGCCATAACTGCCTCTGTCTGAGATTTTACAAGCATTACTGTGTTGGGATGCATGACTCATTACAAAGTGAGAAAGTTGTGGTAACAGAACTTTATAATGGATGGACTTGGTCTCACAAGTATAGCCATTTAAATGAGACTTGTTTTCTCCAAGGCTGCAAGCTTTTTTGTTTGTGATATACAATTTCAAAGGATCAATGGAATGCTTACTTTATGAAGAGAGGCAGCTTCTTTCTGATACTTCAGTTCAACCATTTCATCCATTTTTTGTGATTACTCCATATAAGACATCAGAACAAACAGATTTTAGCTTGTCTTGTGAATGACTTTCAGTTCTCATCACTATTTTGTCACAAGAATACATTAATTTGGTGCAATTTTCCACTTTTTTTCATTTATTATTTTAGCTGAGAGAATAACAAGAACGCATGATTACTCATTGAAATCACATGACATTGATGATGATAATCCACATCATTTGCACAGAACCCCCAACATTGTAGCTGCAAAATAGTAACCCTCAACTTCTATTTCTATTCCTTTATTTTTTTGTTGTTATTGTTGTTCCTCCAAAACATCAAGTGTTACAGCAGTTCACCACAGGAGACTGTACTATGTACAGGCAAAACACTACACAACCCAGCAGAAAGATATTTTTCTATTTGCTGATAATGCTAGCTTTTTTCCTTGGTAGAAAATGCATTTCTCTTGATCTCACGTGTCAATTTAACATTCATTAGAGAGCCAGAAGAATTTATATATTGTCTCAGTGGAACAGTATAATATATGACTAGTTTCTTTTATTTTGATTTTTATTTTGTTCCAAAACTATCTTAGTTAAACTTGACCAATACCCACTTGAAGTAATTTATGATAGTCTCAGAGGCACTGAACTTCTTAGTTCTAAAGCATTGTTTAGTTTGTCAGCTTCAGACATTAGGAATTGCTGAATTGCTGAATCCAGTAGCCCAGTAAAGGCATGGCTGACCTCTAGGCCTCATGGTCTTACACAATCACATGGGATACACACACTCTGCTCTCTCCAGGTGCATGTGGAATAAAGAGCCCCTCATCCAGGAAAAATAGTTTGAAAAATAGATGGAGTTTAATGAGAAGACGTGACAAAACATGGTGAGTTGAGGCAACTGTCAAACCTTTAGGGTCACTCCTCATCACCATGCACAGAAGCAGTTTGAGGCCTCTTTGAATTAATTCAACAATTAAATCACAGGACAAAAAAGATAAAACAGAATTTTGTGCTTGGAAGCCTATACACATAAATCAAATAGTAACGTGATCATGACATTGTTATCAGCTTTGCTTCCAGGTATTTTCTGGTTAGTGACCATCATATTATCTTATCATATCTTTCTTATCATATCTTCCGGCAGGTTTTCTCTAAGTGAACTCCTGTCATTGGCTTCCCCTCTGTGAAGTGAATACAGGCTGATATGACTTCATTGATTTCATGATTTTTTTTTTCCTAAGTAGAATTATACCACTAAATGCATATTCTTTTCCAAAGCTTTCTACAATCTTCAGGCCTGATGACTGATTTACTTAAGGCAACTCCTCATTTCTTAACTTGTGTCTCCTGCAGGAATGCAGTTTTGTTTCACATAAATACCCTTTTTCACTCCATTTAAAGATGCCTTTGAAATATTCCACTCTACCAGCAAGGTTTCACCAGTCTGAATGTGTTTGTATCTGTAAATCTGCCTAGTTACAGTTGCAGTGCATCCGCCAATTATAGCAGATAGATGGATCTACCCAGATTGCACCTTCCCATCATAAAATTAAGCACCTAACTTTTCTTTTTTCTTTTTTTTTTTTTTCAAAAAGCTGCATGTTCATCATGCAAACTCATAAATAAGGACAGTGAATATGCTTCCTTACCAGAGCTTGAGATAGAGTAGACATGATGTTATAGAAAAAAAAAATCGGTTGGGCTTCCTGACCCTCAGAGATGGCCTGCTGAGATCTGGAAAAATACTGGCAATTCTCTGAGGTAGTTTTGCAATGTAATAAAGGTTTTGCTGCTGGAATCCATCTCCACATTCATTGGGCTGTACATCACTGCATCTTTGCTGACTTTAGGGCTGTATTGCAGGCACAAGTGATGTGCAGTGGAAATTTCTGTGTCATGGCCAAACTACATATATATATATATATTTTTTTTTAATTAGAACTGATTATGCAAAGTCATGCATTGCCAATTATGGAGAAAGATGTCCCAGAGGGAATAAAGCAGTATATGCTAGAAAGAGGATTTTGCTAGTTTATTCTGTAACTATCTTTGTGGAGGATCCCTGCTGCTTTCTTTGAAACCCTTTACACTGATTGATACCGGAGTCTGTGTGGGTTACTAAATATGATCCTCTATTTTAATATTTTGGCTGTTCCAGAATGGGTGAGCATGATGCAAGATTCCCTCAGTATCCTGCAGCTCAGAGAAAGAAGATTGGGAGAATAAGTGTTTCTGTATTACTTCTGCCCAGACATTTCATTCGTATTTTGTTGGCACTGCCATCATGACTGTACATTTCTATGACTATTTCTGTGTTTGCAATGTAGATCCCTGTTTAATCACTACTGAAATAAAAACATCACTCCTTTTCATGCAGAATGCTGCACCGTCTACAGGGAGATCCTGTGAGAATCAGGGATTAACTTTTTAATCTTTTGCCTCTGGTCTAACATTACTTATTATTATTATAGTAATCATTCAATTGCCTTGACAGAAGAGGAAGGTACGTTCCACACAAATCTTATAGCCTTTTTCTGTGGAGAGAAGTGTTCTCTTTTTCTGCTAATATCAGAAAATGCAATCCATCCATCAAATTGTCAGACATTACCTACAAGGCAGATTGACAGATTTTGTTCAAATGAATTTTAGGAAAGCTGAATAAATCCTTTTAAAAAAAGATAGCAACAACTGCCCACAGCACCACTTGGACCAATTCCTAATCTGATGTAGCTATTTGAAGCTTTTCCTGAATTGTCTGGGGCAATATGGAAAGAGTTGAATTTGGCCATATCTATAGAAAATCGCTTGCTACTCTACTAACTTTGTCAGTCTGGGGACAGAACATAGCTTTTCTCCTGCTGTGGTATATGTAGACTCCATTTGAACTAGATAACTGGTGGAAGAACACCTGATATTGCAGTTTTTATTATAAAGTCATGCTTAAATAATTAATAATTGCATTATTGCCTTAATAAACACTGAAGGTACAATAAAACTACAATTAAATTTGCTTTATGAGAAGAAAATTATAGTGTCTTTTAAGGTCTGTTGTTTACAGTTAAGAAATCATATTACTCTTCTATGACACCTTTACAGCACTTTCAACCTTCAGCATTAAGCTAGAGTATAGCCAGTTCTAGTTTGTTTGAGGTAGTTCTCCATCGATAGCAGAAAGTAGGATCAATATGTGCAACTTGGTGCTCTGTAGGTAGGAAAGTTCTGCCCCTGAGCTTCTTGAATATCATGATAAACATGAATTTGAGCTGATGTTGTAGACAAAACAACATAGAAGGAAGAGGAATAACTTCTCCATACGTAAAGACAAAGTTCTGCCATCCAGAGGATTCTGCCTCCGGATGAAGAGTCTTGAGGTGGTGGACAGCAATCAGGTGGACAGCACTGGCTGAAGTAGAAACATCAGCACTATTAAAAGAAGGACACATGCATTTATCACACTACTTATCTAGAGCTTCCTGTCATGCCCACAAGACCTTACTCTTTCTGGTACTGCTGCCAAAGTTGTTTTCACCACAGGATATTTCTGATCAAATTCAAGTGGAGAGATGAAGTCTGCTGGAACATGGTGATGAGCACCATTGATGAAAACTGGTGTAACACTGCTAATAGGTTTTCCAGTTTCTTCAAAATTGTCTGGTATGAAAAAAAAAAAAAAAAAAAAGGCAATGAATTATACGAATTACTCTTCATGCTTTTGGATGGTCTTGTATTTAAGATATCAGCACTGACCCTTGTCTGATTCCTGACAGTTCTGCTAAGGATTGTTGACAAAGATTTAAAAGTCAAGTTTCCCATTTGTTGAGAGTTTAGAATTTTGATGACAAAAGAATCATTAAAGTTGCACTAGCCATTTTTATATAATATGCAAGGTATTCACACCTGACCTGATATTGCAGACTGCATGGTACAACATAAATACTTTTGCTAGCCCTCAGCAAACTAAAACAAGCCCTGGGAAGTGAACAGTCCAATCATGTTACCTTAGAACTCTAAACACCAATTAACCCTGCTTTTTAGCTCATATTTCTCTTCCCTACATTGTAGTTTATACTGCAGTTATGAACTTAATTAGATAATCTATCTGAATATGTCATGTTTCTATTTAAAATGACAACTTTTGTTAGGTAAGGTTATAAAAAAGTCATATATGTGGGAAATGTAATGACAAAATGTGAAATTTATTTTAGTTCTGAGTGATGGTGAGAATTTATCATTTAAGAGGCAGGTATAATTTTCTAGCAGCAGTTTGCTTTCTGTGTTGCACAACATTTGCTGCTGAGTCCTGTATTTCTCTTCTCCATATGCCAAGAATAAGGTCTTTTTGCATGAACATGTCACACTTGTTCAGTATATTTATGATTCATTCAGAATTGATGAACGGGTGTATGTTGTCACACTTTGTCTTTTCTGTTTCTAGTATTTCTAAAGTGCATAAACTAGATAGGTTTGATGGGAGTTAGGAAGTTTCTCAAGGTTAGAGTGGAAGTTAGAGTGGCCTTGCAACCAAGATAAGAAAAAGAGAAAACTTAAGGGAATTGCACCCACATCTTATATGTACAGAAAGTGCAAGAGAAGTTAGGTAGTAAGTCTACATAGCTGGAGTTCACCTGCAGAACTTTTCACAGCTTGCCCCAAATCTGTTCTTTGCACCAAGGAAGAACCTACGACTGCCTTCTGGTCCAGAGAATGATCTGTTCTCCTGGAGTTTGCATTTTCACTGAACTCACTTAAGATCTTTGATCTACACTTCCACTGTATTCTATTGTTTTATGAAAAGGGACACATGGCCGATTACACAGATGTGGAAAGATAATGCCATGAGGAAAATAAATCATTCAGATTGACTGGCATAACTTCAACCTAGACTCGGTGCTCTTTTCCAGTAAGACCTAGAAATGAACTAGTACTTTAATCCATACATTCTGAATTACTTGATAAAAGTTAAACACATCTCAGTTAAACGCTATTCACAAGAAGAAAGGTATTGGAATCTGGAAACACTTTCAATGTCATTTCCTGACACCTAACATACAAACTATGTAATTAATCAGATTCCTCTTCCATAGAGTAGTCCTTGTGCAAAAGCATTTAGGTAGTGACAAAATATTAACGATGATAATGTCAAATTCATGAATTCTCTGAATTGATAATACTCTGAATGATACCAAACTAGTGAAGCGGTACTGAATGACTTAGTTGAACTAGATGATCTTAGAGGTCTTTTCCAACCTAATTGATTTTATGATTCTATGACTTTCCCCTTCCCTTCCCTTCCCTTCCCTTCCCTTCCCTTCCCTTCCCTTCCCTTCCCTTCCCTTCCCTTCCCTTCCCTTCCCTTCCCTTCCCTTCCCTTCCCTTCCCTTCCCTTCCCTTCCCTTCCCTTCCCTTCCCTTCCCTTCCCTTCCCTTCCCTTCCCTCCCCATTCCTTCTCATCCTTTTTCAGTCCCACCCTAAATTGTCCTAAACTATGTTTCTTGTCATAGCTGAGACACCCTGTTCTGAATGCACACTACAGATGATCATAAAAGGTCAGCTGCTGCATGGAGTGCAAAATTTTTTGCTTGGTGCACATAACTTGCAGGTGTACAGACATATATAGTAAGAGAAATCAGTCAGATGCTTTTTTTTTTTTTTTTGGTGCTGAATATAGCCAAGTGTTTCTAAGTGGGAGTCAGTTACTGTGCTGCTGAGCACCTTCCAGTTTCAGAAGTGCCAAAATCATCAGTATTTCTCTGGTTTCTCATGTGCCTCCATTGTTCAGCCTTAGTTGAGCTGATCAGAAACTTTCTAGCAAAAATAAAATACACCAACATATTAATTGAAGCTGAAATGTTTCCCTGTCTCACACTTAGGATACTAGTCTAACATGTAGAGACAAAAGTAAAGTTTTTTTTCTGCTTTCTGTAGAGAAATGCTGGATCAAAGATTTAGGAACTAAGAGAGCAGATGGCTTCCATAACTAAGACCAGCTCTCTAAGCATCATGGGTTATAAATAAACCTATTAAACAAAACTAGTTGGGTTTTGGAGCCAAAGGCAGATACTTTCATGTATTTCCTTTCCTATGTAAATGTTTTAAAGATTTTATTTTTGTTCCAGAATAGAAAAAAAATATATTTCAGAAGTTCTTGTGATACAAAATTTTCATCCTCCACAGTCTAGTGCATCATGCCAGATACTTCCTGAGAATGTGTGCTTTAAGCTTTCTACATCAGTTGAATTGACTTTGACACATAACAATCTGCGGCTTTCAAAAATAACACCTAAAGAATAAATCTTTAACACTGGTCCAAATGTTTAAGAATTTGGAAGGGAGTAATTGCCAAGGTAATTTCACTCAGCAAGAGCACAGACTGAACTGCAGAAATTCAGTGTAACTCACAAAGCAGTCAAGGTATGCAGAACGTGAAGAAACACCTCACCTGTTTTCACTGCTGCATAAAATGAAGAGGCAATTGAAAAGGGTAATTTTAGTAAATCTCAGAAGATTAAATGGAGGCAATCATAGAATAAGTAGTTCTCCTTTGTATATAAAACACTAACAACAATCTGCTGTCAAAGATGTAATGTTTCTTATGAACATACTTTGGTTTTAAGAGCTTTAGAGAGAGTTTACTAAGACGTCTGCAGATCAGCATCTCTGTGTCCCTCTGACAGCTGTAGCATTGAAAAAAAAAGTCTATAAAAGGGATCAGATGTAAATAAAGAAATGGGACTTACCCATGACCTTCCAGAGATATTGAAAAGTGTAAGGAAATATTACTTTAAGCCATAAATGTACAGTAGAGATAATGCCAAGAGAATTAAACAACCATCTGGTGTAATTATTCATGTTCTCTAAAAATAGTTTGCATGTGAATGTGGCACCATATTTCCGTATATAATTTAGAGGTTTGAGTCTAAGGGAAAATTGCAGAAAATGACAGGAAATAAAGACACTTTTTTTTTTTTTTAATGTAGATTAATGCATTCTCTTCTAGATAAGAAAGCATGGGAGACAGTGTGGTGAGTGGATGGGAACTGGGAGTGAGAAGAGTACTAATGCTTTTAAGGCAAACATGCATGTGACAACCAAAATTCATTTGAAATCCTGCCTTCGTGTGCTGGGGTTTTCTTGATGCTTTGTACAACAGTTTCAGACTGTACAGTTGTCAGGTGAGGAATTGTGTGAATAGTACACATTTTAGATACTGTTATATTCTAAATAAGTGATGTAAAGAAAAATATTGGTGACTGAAGTAGTGCAAAATTTGTCAAAAGAGATTTTTATCATAAAAATAAATCATGGATCTTTGAGGAGGAGAAATTTGTTCATATAAAACCTCTTGCTGTCCATACTGCATGAACCTACCCATGCTTCTAGGAGAGTCAGGCAGTTAGAGAGCAGAACAGACCAAGCTATGTTTAAATACTGTATTCCAACAACTGCAATAAAATTAAATGAGTAAAAACCTGTCCAAGGATAAGCTGCAGATTTTTTTTTCCCCACTCTTAATTGCACATTTGTGTAAAAGAAAACAAAATATCCATTTATAACATGGGCAGTACTCTGCAGTAGAAAATACCACTGGGTAACATGAGAAAAATACAGCAGAGGTATTTTTTAATGATAATATGTGACTAATGCACATAAGTAATAAATTTACAGAGAAAGAATGTTAAATTATTTGTCTTTACTCATGTACTATAACCAGTATTACAGTAAAAAAGGACATCAAAACGACTGATGAAAACTAATTTGAATTCATTGCGAAATAAATACCTGCAGAAGGTGTTGTTTGATGCATCATTTCCCAGGACTGCATACATGGAGGATTCTACACATACCACTGTGTACTCTGAAAGCCAAGTTTCCTATACAAATATGAGTAACACTGATGTGAGTTAGCTGTAACTCCCCCATATCAGAAGAAGGTACCAACTCTGTACATGGAAAAAAAAAAAAAAAAAAGTGAAATGTTATCTCTTTAAAAAATGTTCGGAATGAAAGCTACCACAGGTGCCAAGAATGGAAAGGCCAAGATAGTCTCACAGCATTTTGGTGTAAAAAAGCACCATTTGCTCCAGGAGATGTATGCTTGATGTCAGTTCTCGTTTTCCTCTTCTACTTTTCAGTTGCAATCTAAAGTTTTAGCAGTCTAGTTTTGATAATCCAAGAATCTTAATCAATGGAGAACCATCATATTCCTTCTAAATCAATTAAATAGCAATTATAGCAAATTGGTAGCCTGATAATAGAATCCAGAGAAGGAAGACCTGAGCATGTCAAAGTCATGCCTGTCTGCAAAACTCTCCAAATTTCTTTGACTGCCAGTACAGTCTTTACTGGAAACAAAAGACTCAAAACTGACACAAAAATGGATAATAATAACATTTTTGTGATTTATTTTCAGGAATTCAGGTTGCTGTAACTGTATCTCTACTCCTACTTATTTCAAGGCAATATTGTTGTCCCTAGATGCTCTTATTTTTGTCTCTTTGTTTTATTAAGGCAAGAATTCAAACTAATTAAAGAACTTCCATCTGGTTTTTGTCTTCCGTCAACAGCTTGGCTAAGACCAGTATTCAGAAGATAGCATTTCTGTATGATAATGCAAAGTCTATTACACTCACATATAAAAAGATTAAAATATAGTTATTTCTTTCTTTTCTTCACTTTTTGCAATGTTTTGTATGATCTAATAAATATATTCATTAGCTGCTGAGAGTTTCATTTTAACATATAATGTATAAGTTAGAAATATTTAGATAGAAAGTGTAAAATAGCTGCAGATGGCTCACATCTATTTCAGTAAAATTTGAACCAGTTTCTTCAGCCAACAGCATTCCTTCTAGTACCAAACATTTGCTTTTAAGACATTATTATCTAAGAAAAAAAAAAAAAAAAAAGAAAAGAAAAGAAAAAAAAAGTTATGAAAGCAATGTATGCTTTAGAAAAGATATCGTGCTGTGTCAAAAGTAACGTCAGGGCATTATGTTGGAAGAATAAAGAGCAATGCAGAGGTGTGTGTTATCTGAGCAATAAAACAAAGCAGTAAACAGCATTCTTGCCATATCTCCTATTTTTTTTTAAAGGAAAAAAAAAAGCCTACTTAGTTTAAAACTATGAAAACTTAAATATCTTCTTTAGAAGGAAGAAATATCTTCTTTAAAGGAAGCCAATAATGGTGTAAAATAATGGTGGGAAAATGCTTTAAATAAACTCAAGTTTTTTTTCTGCTAACTCCTGTTCCAACTCTTTACTAATCATGCCTTTCTCTTGAAATGTTTTAGGTTACAACCCCCTTTTTAGAGCTGTAATTTTGTATACTATTTACTTTAATAAGTCTGTAAATAACATCTTCCTGCACAGGATGACTAGTAAGATATTCCATGTACCCAAAAAATAAAATGACCTTGGTGGGTTCCTTACTAGGAACAATAGTCATTTGAGCATATGCTATCTATGTTAATTGGAGAAGCTGTTATCTGACAATACTTACACCATTTCTGTGCCAAATTAAAAAACACAAGAGCTTTTTCTCCAAGAGCTATTAATAATGCTTGTTGGAATAGGCTGCTTAAATTTAAGGACACTTTTCAAAAATAACTTATGTTTAGAAAGTCTATTTTGAGAATGGAGAAGCTTCATAAGTGAGATTTGAATCAGAATTGAAAAACTCTTATTGCTTGCTGAAACCAAAGAACGTAACAGAAAGTGGGTCAAACAGAAGTTGATCTAAAAGTCAAAAGATGTTGAGAACTTTTTACCACAAAGGCAGTTAATCACCAAACTGGCAAAATTACAGCCCTGCATGTGTAATATCAGACCCCCTTCATGATGTGGAGCTGCTAACAAGAGAGATCTGAGCTAATAAAAGAACAACAGCAGCTAATTTTGAATCCAGCCAAGCCTGAAGGAGGTATATTTTCCTTCCTCCATGAAACTATTGAAACGGTGGGGTGCTATAAAAGCTAGCTGCAGCAAACAAGCAGTAACAGATGCCACTCCCATTCTTGGCTTTACAAAACTCCTCTGAGCTTCCCACTATAAAAGAAGAAAAAAAAGAAAAAAGAAAAAAAAAACAAACACTATGAACGCAGCATGCAGGCTAAAATTCAGCTCAGAAGCAACTGTCTGTGTCACATGCTATCTGCAGTACAGTGACCTCACAGAGATTATATCAATATGGATGAGATGAGACAAAGTCACTAATTATTACAACTAGCTGCAATTTTATTTTCATTTGAAGTGATCACAATTGAAACTAAAATAACACCAACATTTTAAATAATAATAGGTTTTCCAGTAAAAACAAGCAAACAAACAAACAAACAAAAAGTCCTATATATCTAGAATAAATATATGAAATAAAAGCAGTAAACAGGAGAAGAGTAGCTCAACTTAAATGAGGAATTCTCCATATACATTGTTTTGCCTACATAAAGTGTTGTTGAACTATTCTCCTGAATAAGGGACAGGTCATATAAAGAATCTAGGAAACCATTCTCAACCTCCGTAAAATAATACACTGGAAAGCACCTTCTCATAAGTATCTAGCCTCTCTATATTGTCTTCCTAATACGAGTGCAACACCCTCAAAATGCTATCTAAAAGAGACAGCATGCTAATAATTGCTTCATACTGCCCAGCAGAAAAATGATACAGACATTGAAGTTCTCTGTCTTTATTGTACCCGTGCACCTACATTCTCTATCTGTATTGTACCAGTACACCTGCAAGTGTTTCTACACATAATCATTTTTTCAAAGAACTAATTTTGGTGGTCATGCAACTACTTGCCTTTGATACAATTATAGGGGGAGCAAGAGACTTGAATTTTTTGAAGAAGAGTAAAAACTGGGGCCTGTCCTTGCCACAGACAGAGATTAAGGTCTCAGAGTTTAATTCCCTCCTTTCACTAGTTTCATGATTTGGATGGATTTTTAATGCACTTTGCCGTTATTATTTGGAAATCATTAAAATGGCAAGCTGTTTCAATGCTCCATGGTGCTTAGCTGTAGCTGTGGTGTAATTACCTGAAGTAACTAGGAAAATAAAACTTAAAGAAAATGTACAGCATTGAAGAGGCTTTCAGGGTAGGGCATAGCTGCATTACCTGAGCGTTCCCTAGGCTTCCAACCTTAGATGCTATCGTGCTGGGGAAACCTGGTGTGCTAGCTCTAAGGAACAGTACGGAGTGTAGAGTGGAGTGGAGACACCACGGCTAGGCTCTGTGACCAGGTGGGGACTCTATTGTTCTTGTGCACACCGAAACTGATAAGCTGCACTTTTTGCCACCCTGAGCCAAGGACTTGTCATGTTTTGACAAATGCTGTACCCTAGTGTACTTTTTGCTCATTATAATATCATTATAATACCAAAACACACCTCCATCCCAAAAGCTACCCGCTTCCAAGGTGCGACCACCCCTCACTGAGCATGCACTCTGAATTTCTCAGAGCCTATTACTTTAAATGGAGACGGGAGAACTTTTCACCAATCATAACTAAGATATGCTTGTCTAGAGTCACTCAAGCTCCACCTAAAAGATAGAAAATAATATAAATTGGCCTAAGAGAGAGGGCATGTTAGGGAAGATACCACCATCAGGGGAGATACTATCCCGAGGGAATACAACATCCTTAGGACCTCCTGACTCCTGGGATCAGTCGACGGGCTGAGCCTCTCTTCCCCTCCCATTGGGACGCCTTTGGATGAGATTTGAACACTTGGTTATAAATCTTTCTAGAATCTTTGATCCTTTTAACACGTTAATTTCTAGGCTGCGCACCTGTAACACCTGTAACACCTGTGTATTTCATGCATGCTAGCTTGCTTTTGCAGACAGTCACTATCGCTGTCAATCCAAAGAACCTGTGTACCTGTTGCTGTAATAAATCACACTTGATTGCATTGTTATAGCTCTCATAAAGTGCAACTAGGGTAAGGATGGTTATACGTTATTGGTGAATCTGTGACCGTGATAGTTCAGTGTTCTGAATCCAACCAGACCCCAGACGGTTAACACGTTATTGGTGAATATCCGACTGGACCCCAGAAGGTTAACACATTATTGGTGAATCCAACTGGACCCCAGATGGTTAATGCATTATTGGTGAAATCTGTGACTGTGATAGTTCATTCAGTACCCTGAATCCGACTGGGCCCATAACGGTTAATCAGCTACACCCCTTAACGCAACAGTAGCTCACCAGGGTAACTGCACTTGCAAAATGACATGTTCTCATCTTGCTCTAACAGTTGCCTCATTCATTGGCTGCATAAACCATTTTGCAGGCTGGTCTCTTCCTGAAAAAGGAAGGTACCATAGCAGAAGAATCTTGAGCTACCTGCTTCATGGATAATGTACAGACTGCCTAGAGGGTGCACTCATAGGATTTCAGAGTCCTTCTGAGACCATGGTGAGCTGCACTCTCACTGACAACAATTCAGTAGCATGTTTTAACATACATTGGCTGCTGAACTAAATGACAGTCATTGAAGAGTAGTAAAACTCAGACATGTTTTAATTACAATTTTCTAGAGAAAGATCATGTTCTCCAGTTTGCCATGGGCATATATCCTCCAGTACACACAATATAAGAGACAAGTAGTACTATTATTTCTTCTATGAGATCATAGTAAATCAGAATTTTGCAGTACTCAAAGCATATTATGTGTTAAATTATATCTCCTCCCTTAATTTCAAAAGCTCATTAAGTGTTTAGTTATATAACGCTGTCTGTGCTAGATTACAGATGCAATCTTTTGAATCAACAATACTGTCAATTACATTACCTAAACAGCTGAAAATACATTATGAAGAAAATTCACAGATGTCCATAAAAGCCTATAGGAGAAATTACATTATGTTTTAAATACCATAATCTTTGTGTACAGATAGAATTAGATGACTCAGCCACATGTCACCAGCCTAGTAACTTAAACGTCAGCTAGTAGTGACTGAGGCACTAACCAAAAATATGGATGGGCCTGATTTCATTCTGCCTAGCTCTAGTGACTTAAGTGAGACATTTAAGTTAGGAAATTAAATGTAATAAGTTATCTCCACAATTAATGGAAAGAAGACAGCAATTCAGAGTTGTGGCTGCCTGCTTCACCATTGAAAGGTGCCAA